CACCCGTCCATCATGGATCTGCCGACTAACCTTGCTAGCCTGAGCCAGTGGTCGACTTTCTCCTGGATCCCCCTTCAGAGGACTCCTGAGGTAGTTGTATCCAGGGCTGAACTGAAGGGTGCCGGCTTTTTCCTGTAGGACGTCCACAGCACCAGTCTCAGAGCAAGGACTGACACAGGGTTTTATCCAGAAGCTTCTCCCGTGTCCTGCTACATGAACCCAGTCAGCTGTCTCAGAGACCACTACAGCAGCTCCTGCAATTGTGGAAGGTCACATCCTTTGCGTGAATTGGCCAGCTTTTTCTTTCGAAGCCCACCATGAATTGGGCCTCCCCTACTGCCCCATCATGCCATTCTTTGTGTCACTCAGTATGTTCATTTTTTCATGCAAGCTTTCTCTCGGGTTCTCCAGCATCCAAGTTTCAAGCCCTTCCCGGTCCTTGGGTTTGAAAACATGGTTCCTTTCACCTCTGCTGACATTGCCTGCGGTAGGTCTTGGCCCAATCATTAGCTTCTCTGACCACCTCACCTAAATCATCCTTCCAGCTTCTCTCCTGGGTCCTCATTGGAGACTGCATGTGCAGTCCAGTTACATTTTGTTATTATTTTTATTTTTTTTGACAGGCACAGTGGACAGTGAGAAAGAAAGAGAGAAAGGTCTTCCTTTTTTCTGTTGGTTCACGCCCTAATGGCCGCTGCAGTAGGCACACTGCACTGATCCAAAACCAGGTGCTTCTCCTGGTCTCCTATGTGGGTGCAGGAGCCCAAGGACTTGGGCCATCCTCCACTGCACTCCCGGGCCACAGCAGAGAGCTGGACAGGAAGAGGAGCAACCGGGAAAGAACCTGGCACCCCAAGTGGGACTAGAACCCGGGGTGCCGGTGCCGCAGGCGGAGGATTAGCCTATTGAGCCGCGGCGCCAGCTGTCCAATTACTTTTTTGGTTGGTTGTCCTCCCTAGAATCTAGGTTCCAGGCCAGCAGGGGTTCTCTGGTTCAGCATTGTACACTCTGACCTAGCACTGGTCTGGCACAGAGCCAGTTCTCAAAGGATGCCTCTGGGAACAGAATCTACCTGCTGGGTCACAAAGGACAGGAATCATTTTCCAATCTTTAATGGTGGAGTAAGAATCAAAGATGATCCAGAGATCCATCCTCTCTGTATTTCATGGTGGGTCAAGCTAATCGCCTAGGGATTCAGGAACCACCCGTTTTTAACAGACTTTTCTGTTCTGTATTAACAGATTGGACTTCTCTGAAAGTGTCCGTAATGGAAATACTTAAATGCACCCAACATGATGGGTTAGAAGTGTCTGTTCTGGCCTTCAGTTCACTTAGAGCTTAGAGCTGATTAACAGATCTGAATGAGGTTTTCAGAAAATGCATCCAATTTTATTGCTCCAATTTGTGTGTTCTAGCTCTTAATTTCATCCTGTAAACTTCTTAAACCCGTATTTTATAAGTCATAGTACTCTCCTTATTTTCCAACATTTAATAGAGGCCTCATTTGTGACAAAAATTTGCAAATAGCATTTCTATCAAGTCAAACCAAAAGGCAAATTCCATCTTACACTTTTCAAGAGTCCCTGCTGAATGTTAAGTTTTCCCAGGATCTTTGTAACTTTTAATTTCCAGGGTCCAGGTTTTGGTATCCTCTTAGGCTTGTAGATCACTTTTAACACTGAGACACTGCAAAAACTCTTTGATGCTGGCTTTCTTGAAATCCTCCATGCCTTGAATGCCTCCTTTTTAAGACAGTTGTTTAAGACTTTTTTACTTAATGAAAGGCAGAGTGAGATAGACACCTTCTACCTGCTGGCCACTCCACAAATACCCTAAACAGCTGAGACGGGGTCAGGCAGTTGATGGAGTCAGGGACTCCATCTGAACATCCCACATGGGTGGCTGGCAGAAAATCAAGTATTTGGGCCATTATCTGCTGCATTCCAGGCATATTCGCAGGAAGCAGGATAGGAAGTTGAGACTCCAATTAGCACTACAATACGGAAAGTGGGCATTCCAAGCAGTGGCTTATTAACTTGCTGCATCATAACAAGTTACCCGATTTTTCCAGTATTTATCCCAGACAGCACAGCTGGTCAAAAATATTCAAGTGGCCAATAAATGACAGGTATGGGCACTTTGGGGACAAGACATGGATCTCTATACATTTGCTCCTATGCGACTTCCTTGTCAAACAAAGCTCACTTCCAATATTTGTTTTTCATTTTTACCTCCAAACCTGCTAGCTTTAAGGATATTAATGGAAATCTACAAACTGAGAAGACTTTGCTGTTCTACATTAAATTAAACAGTCAAGCAGGTCGTTCTGAATTATTTTGAAGAGCACTAGAAATCAGAGATTTGCTGTTTTAATTAACACTTGCAATCAATTGGTACTTACAATGAAACAGCAGAGAAGAGTCACAAAATATACTAAAAGACACTAACTATGCTTTTCCATTCACATCAGAATACAGGATCTTCAGAACGCTCATGGGAAAACGTCTTATGAAAACACTATGCATAGGTCTTAACATGTTAGCATCTAAATAAACTGTTTAATTTCATTTCCCATGAATTTCTGAACTGCGCTCATATTGCCTGAGTTCTAAGCATACCCAATAATGCCGTTGTTTCAACTTGGTTTGGCCAGTTCTTCCTAGTAGCAGTACAAATGTAACCGTAGTAGTATGAACGTAAAGGCGCGAAGGCATTGCGTCACAGGAAAGGCGCACGCTTTCCAACATTGCTCAGTGGTGAGGTAAGTAATCCGACTGCGATGGACACTCCCTATGCAAAGATTTGGGGCAGAGAATGAGAGTTCCTTGCCTGCATGTCTGGGCTGAAGGTGTGTGGCTGCGGACAAGACGCAAAACAACAGTAATTAGTAACTGTCGCTTCTACTCAGAATCCGGTTTCAATCGGAATTTAAGACTTCCTGTACAAAGCAAACCAGCTAAGTGGCTCTGGCTCTCTCAGTCTTACTCAAGGCCACCAATAAGTGAAAAGGGGAGGTAACAAGAATACAGAACGTTTCCACTTCCACAGTACGCAGAAGGCTGCACTCTCAACCTGTTTTACCTCATTTTCACTCATAGGACACACAAAACTGGAAGGCTCTTCAGAGTTCACTGTTTTATTACACACCAGACACACGAACTAACCAGAGGTTAGGGTTTTATCTGTGCTCTTAAAATCACAGGAAATACATTTTCATCTATCTCCTGTTTTCTGATATGGGTGTGACATTTCAGATTCTTTTGGGATTAGTTTACATTAAAATGAAAGAAACCATAGACAGCTGTATATAATGAACTACGTGCTGTTTTTTGGCAGCTAATAGAGACCTGTTGATTACGAATACGTAACAAGACTGTATAGTATTCAAATGCTATGTATTTTGAACATCTATTGTTACTGTATATCAAAATCTCTGTTTGCAGCTTCTTATGTCTTCTTGAAGGCTTTGCTAAAAGCTCCAGCCCTTGCTACAGGAAGCTTTTTCTGCACACCCAGGAAGTGTAGATATGGAACCACTTGTCCCTCTCTGCACCATGGCTGCTTTTGAGTCTTGTGTTAGGCAGGAGGGAAAACACAGTCAACTTCGACTCCGAGGTAGGTAATGGACAGGAATGAGAGAACACAAGACCCTCTGCCCACCTTCCTAAGCTTATGTCTTAATACTCCCTAAGTGCCACAGGTACCTCAGGTCTTCCACACACCACTGTGCTCCCGCCCAGCACACTCGGTCAGCCTGTGTGCTGCTGAGAAGGTCGCATGCTGAACTGCCACCCCGCTTTGTTTTCTTCTGGAATCCCGAGACCACCTCAATGCAGTGTTTCCGTATCGTACCCTGTATCTGCGATTCACCTCCCTGTCTGCGCCATGTTACTGCAGTGAGTCAACGGCACCTTTCCATCTTCAATGAAAGACTACGGCCTCTTCAGTGGTTCTTCAAAAAATGGCCACAGGAATATTTTGCAAGTCCCAAGGTTTTAAACTGACATCTGTTCCCGTCACAGACCACACATCACCTCCAGCTGCACCATGAAACAGCTATCTGGAATCTGAACACAGAAAGCTCTCAGGTCAGTGCCCAGCCCAGTGGGGCAAGGCGTGCACAAGGCACTAGACCATCCCAGCTTTCCTCAGCCACAGAGTGAAGTTCATAGACTAAGCTGCCTTCTGATAGCCCATCACTGACACATCTGAGGTCATGCGGAACAAAACTGGCACAGAACAAATTTCAGTAGAGATGGAATCAGGATACTCAAGTCAGAGAAAGGAGGCAGGGGAGAAGGCCGGAACTTGGCAGGCTGGGGACTTCTGCTTCTGCCACGATATCCAGGGCTGTGGCAGGTCCGGGACAGCCCGCTCACCCCTGCCTCAGTTGATCCAGAACACTCTTTTGCATCCCACTACCCCACCAGGAACATAACAGGAATACCTGAAAATTCTGTGGGCTTTAAACCATCCATCCTGCCTGCCCTACAAGGTGGAGAACAGGATGCAGTGTAACTCTGAACAAAAACACAGGAAGCAAAATGCTAGCTGCTTTTCTTCCTGGGATCCCTTTTCTTCCACTTCCCAGAGGTGTTTTAAAGGTCAGCACAGTAAAAATAAGCTGTCTCCCACAGCATCCATACACAGCAGATTTTACACTAACCTACGCCAAATGCCAAATTCAAGAATCAGAACTGCCTACCTAGAATATTCTTCCTTTTCTCATATTAAACTTGTGTTAGTTAGCATATAAAAAGTTAGGAGACATAGCTTTTGGGAAGTCCAGTTGGTGGCAGGGCTGGACAACAGATGGTCACCCAAAAACCTGACCCAGAAAGGTGACTTACTTTGCATGGCTGTGCTGCCAGTGGAGCCCTATTTTGGGGATACCCTAAAAATCCATGACCTAATGTAGTCTGCGACAGCTCAGGGCACGGACAACAATCTTAACCTGATTCCCGCTCTAAAGCAAGAACACGTAACTTTCACCAGAGACATGCCAAAAACAACCTACAACAGCTTTTTTTATTTTGTCAAAACTGCTCCAAAACAAAACACAAACCAGGCAACACAAAATATGCTTTAGATATTTGCGGAGACCATGCCAAGTAATCCAAAAGGGCTTTTAATTAGGCGGCTTTCAGTTTCATGCTGTTTCTGCAGAAAGAGCTACTTTGGAGATAGTCATTTGTGAGTTTTTTGTATATAATTTTATTTAAAAAGTTTGTTTTTAAACCTTAACAGAGAAGTTAAGAGCTGTATCTACTTAATACTGGATAATTCAAGCTTTAATCTTCTGTCGGCACTGAAATTTTAGGTGAATTTGAGTTGAGCCTTAAGAAACGTTAACCACTGACAGCACTGTGATTAACATCTCTGTGTCCCGCATCAAACCTGGATTGGATTCCTGGACCTGGCTCGTTTCCAGCCAATGCAGACCCTGCAAGGCGGTGGTGGTGGCTGACGTAACTGGGTTCCTGTCACCCAAGTGGGAGCCCTGGACTGTGTTCCTGACTCCTGGCTCCAGCCTTGCCCAGGCTGTTGCATGCACCGGAGGAACGAACCAGCAGATGGGAGCTCTGTCTGCCTCTCACAAAAAAAAAATCATAACTTTGTAGTGATTGGCTTATTGTAAAATGTGTAATTCATGTTTGCCTAGACAGAAAATGGCTGGGGGTGTTCCTTCACTATCAAAATTAAAGGATATGCATGTCGTAGCACACTGGAAAGTAGTCTGTAAACTGTTTATCACCTACAAAGTCATACAAGAGATTCCAGTTCAAGCTGACAAACTAGGTTTAAAGTGCTGTATTAAAAAACAAATACAGTTCATTTTGGGGCAACTGATTATTTCAGTTTTAAAGAAATGACATTAATAAGAATGAAAACTGCATGTATATTTTCATTCTAGAATTCTTCAAAAGTGCTCTTTTTATTCGGGAAATGTTGTCCATTTCAGAACACGACAGCCAGCTGGTCAAGTCTGGGAAGACATTTATCTACACTTGACCAGAGGTTTCAGAAGCTACTCTGCCAGGTGGCTAGTCTTAACGCTCTTATGGTACACGTGAACATTACTTTTAAGTCACGACTCATTTATCTTCCTGAAGACTTGCACAGGCTTGTTTTAAATATTTTAAACACCTGTAAGAAGCTACAGAGTTTGCTACTGGTAGAGGTACTCTGGTTAGTGACCAAAATGGTGTGGCCAGAGGAGAAACAAGCATTATAAACATGAATTCAATTCTTATCAACACATACTGAGTTACTTTTCTCAATAAAAAAGCCAATCCAAAAAAGATCTTTCTATAAAGATTTATCATGTCCAAATCACAGTGAGAACAACTGGAATAATTTACCAATTTTGTTTCCTATGACGTGCCTTACAGATACCTCATTCAAAATTGGTACTGGACACAACAGAATGACATTTTCAGAATGTAATATTGTAATGACAGTACTGAGGTTGATTGTGACATACCATTAAACTCTTTGGGTATGAAGTGGCTACATCTTAATTATTTATATAGAGCATTGGTCCAATAACAAAAATAGAGAACAGCATCTGGAAATTTATCTCATTCAGTGTTCGGAGATAAAAAGCTAGCCATTCTTCCCATCATTATTCTCTGCAGGTAAGTCCTTGTTCACAACGAAATCTGAGGCGACTGCATCCTGGCCTTTCCCCGAGCTACTGCATGAAGAGGATGCTGAAGGCCATCACGACGCAGCACACGGCGACATAAGGACTCTTCCGCTCACCTGTGGGAACACAAGCAGACACTCGGCTTGACTGACTGAGGGGTCACTGTGCGTGATTACAGGGAAGAGCAACTCTAGGAACCCAGAGAACATTCTAGCTTAGGAGGCCCGCAACATTGTGGGGGTGGAGGTGGAACAAACAAGGAATGAGGTGCAACAAACCAGCAGGCATGATCCATAATGCACTACAGTACACGCGTATCTCCAAGACCCTTCCTTTTCACATATTTAGGCAACTGACAGTGTCTCCTCCGTGTCACCAAGTAACCGCAGACAATAAAACAGTGCAGAATGTAAGACAAAGATTCAAGAGAAACCATCTCAAGCAAGTCCATCCAGGCCAAAGAATTACCTATTCTAGTCCTATAAAAATGAAACGTCTACCTATTAAAACAAATCCAACATGCAATTTTGAAGCACGATTTTCCCCTCAAGGGTCTCATTAATGATACTGGAAGGAGAGGGGTGGGCAAACAGCCAGAGATGGAGATTATCAGAGCACAGTCACAGAACTGCATTTTAAAAAGCACACATACAATCAATGCTTGATACACTATTTTTGGGATAAAATTTGCATCAAGCCTATTTTAGTATGATTATTTCTGGTTAGAAATGCAGAATTTAAAAATATCTACTTGTGTGTGAGTCCATTATCACATGCACTTGAGCAGACGTTTTGCATGAAGTAAGCCTGAAATTGAGCTAAGTCCAACTCCTACTGCTCCCCCATGAACTCACAGTGAATGCAGCAGGAGCCTCTACGGTGCCTCGAGGGCAGAGTGAGAACAGAGCAAGGGGGCAGATGTTCCTGTCTCAGGTGTGCACTGGACATCCTCTGGCAGGGAGAGATCTTCACACTCCTCTCAGCTGTGCTGTTCTACAATGTTTTAAAAGTAGCTTTTCCAACTAACTAGGTTCCATATTTCACTTACCAGGTTCAGTCAAGCGTCACCCTTCTTATTAATGAAGATTCTCAGGGTTAGATTCCTTTCAGAGCCTCCTCACTGAGCTCCTGATGCCATACTATCAGTAGGTGTGTTTATATTATTAACTATGCTTGAAGACAACATTCATAGAAAACATCCACATTTATACACACATACACCAGAGAGATTTTAGGCAGTTCACAGAAAATGTGTTTCATAAAAAAAGTTACGTGCCGATTTCAAAATTTTATTGTATCCAAAGAACCTATCTTTTGATTCTACTTTTCCATGAACTTCTGAAGTACACTGGCATATAAAACAAATATTTGGTGCTGCTTTTTCTATCCATCAACATTTAACGAACCACCTTCTAGCTGAAAGAAAATCTACAGAGTGAAAGAAAGTAGTATTACAATACCACTAACTCAACTGGAAAAAAAAATCTTTTAAAACGCAAAACTACCTTGGCTCACAATTTAACATTGCTAATTCTCTTGAGGTTTAAAAATAAAAAAGACATCAAGTAAAACAAAAGTCATTCAAACATAAGTTTCCAGTAGATTTAGGCAGTCTATTATTCTTAGTAGGGCTATTTTCTTTGTCTAACAGTTTTGAACACCTAAAGAAGAATTAACATTGTTCTAAGTTGTCCATCTGCTGAAAATTAATTTCTGAAGCAGTTGTTCTTCATTCTCAGGCTTAGAACACTGTAATTTGCATATGGGCTTCATTTTCCTGTTTTTAATTTTCTTAAAAGAGATTGCCATGTGGTAGAGCTAGCCATCTCTGGTTGAACTCGGGCAGGAATGTTACTTCTTGTCTGGTCTCAGGTCTGTAGCAGCGAATGTGAAACAGTTGCTGTAATGTGGTGTGCAACATGATAAGACGATTTGCTGGGTCTTTTCCCATTAGCTGTACCCTCTCTCTGTGGATATATTCTATGTCAAGATAAGAGGGGCATGTGCTTGAGAAAGCAGCGGATCAGCATCGACATTTTCAAAGCCACTTTGCCGAAATAAAAAAGCCGATGCTCTCACAAAGCTGGAAAGAGCGATCATTTTAACTGAACCACCCAACATGTGACATCCACACAGCCAAGAGGGGAAAATGGAAAGAGTGAATGAGCAAAAAAAATAGAAAAAAGCATTATTTATAATGAGACATAAAAATAGAGCATAGGACAGGAAATCATTAAGAAAGCTACCAACCGTGCATCTTCAACTTAAGTGATACCTTCAGGAGTCAAAGGTCAACCTGGGCTGCCTGCCGAATGGAGCTATAGTATATTTCTCTAACTTACTACATAAATGGACTTTAAATGCATTCCTATTTCGGTAGGACTCTGCAATTTATGACCAAGCTGAGAAGAAGACTCAGCCTAACTCCACGTGCGGCTCTTCCTCGTGTTCTCTCTCAGCAGTTGCGGGACAGATTCTGCCGCTCCTGCTCCCTGGCAGTATTCTCGCATTCGTTCCCAGGCCGAGCTGCCTCTGAAGCAAGTCTTCTGGCTTACAAGTGTTTACACTCAGCATCAGCTATCAGCATTAGCCACGAGGGAGCCATTTCATCTCTGTATCTTTTTCCTCTTGGTTCTTTTTAAGTGCTAAGATGTGTGCTGTTCATTCAGGGTTTGCAGCTGTTGTACATGACTCAGCCAGATAAGCCTGTCCCACAAGTCTCTGCACGTCTAGGCTAGGCCTTCTCAACTGCAGCACTATTCCAATGTGGGCTGGATAACCGACTTAGGAGGGGCTGTCCTGTGCACCCCAAGATGTTGGGTGATGGTAAAGGAGAGTTCTCACAAGTTAAGATTCACGTGCCAATACCATGAAGAGAAGCAAGAAGGACAAAGACACTGCAGCCCAGCAAAGCACTGAATTCCCTAGAAGAGAACGTCTGTGTCACTGTCACCAGATGAGGGTGAGAATCTTCAAAGAGACTTTTCTGTGAGGCCCTCTGTGCTTCTGCTATGATTTCTACAGCAAGGAACGCAAAAGGTCAAGTAATTCTATGATTTCATCATCCCAGGTTTAGAAACAACACTTTAGTATTATGCCGACAACTTCCCGTCGATGGGTCTTGTCTATTAAAAGCTCAAGGGAAGAAAACTTGCTCTCCAAACTATTTCCATGGTGAACAACACATGAATCTTATAAGACGCTTTTAGGATTTGAAGACAGTTTATGATATAACCACTTGTAGATATCTTACATCTATTCCTAGAATATTTTCAGAAAAATTTCAGAGAATTACAAGAACTTTGTATTTTTCAATCTCTAAATGTTTTCTATTATGAACCATCTTCTAAATTTTCCACATTCCTGACAAGCTGAAAACTAGAGTAAAACATACCATTCTAAAAGAAACATAGTTCATGGACAACAATGCTTAAATTTCCTAGATCGTTTAAAGGGATTAATGAGAGAAATTCAGGCCACTGTCAGATGGCCAGTTAGATTAAATGTCAAATGCAAGAAAATTTTTTTAATAAAAGTCTGATAGCTTTCAAAAAGAAAAAAATAGTTATGTATAAATTCAATGTTAGGAGAAGAATACTAAAATAAAAATTCTCTTCATCATGCAAATAATTTCAGAGAGAAGAAACATTTTCAGTCCGACTGGTATTAAGTACAAATGATGTAGGTTTGTTTTTTTAATTAGTTATGTTAAAAATGATACAATCTATTTTTCAAGAGTACTGGTGAATTACAGCTATATAATACATTTAAGTTCCCCCAGTCATCAATCATTTCAGAGTCTACTATGTGCTGGGGACAGTGCTTAATGCTATATAAGCACCACCATAGGTGACTGGGATGAGTAATTATTTGTGTTTATAAACACAATTAAGATACTGCAATCTTAATCCCTTCATCAGACAGGAAATCAAAATGGTAAACAACACACAAAACAGCTCACCCTATAACATGAACGTGGTGTGCATCAAACTGTATGTGTCTGTCTGAAATCCCTCTTGGGACGGGCCTCTGACCTAGTGGTCAGGACACCAGTTAGGATGCCTGTGTCCCTTATCCAAGGGCCTGGTTTTGAGTCCAGCTCAGGCTCGTGACTCTGGCTTCCTGCTACTGAAGAGCCTTGGCAGGAAGAGATGACGGCTCAAGTAGTGGGATTCCTGACACCACTTGGGAGATATAAAACAACACCCTGGTTCCTGGCACTGGCCCTGTGACCACTGCAGCATCTGGGACATAAGCCATCATATGGGAGTCCTACTCTCTCCATCTCTAAAATAGTTATTAAAAAAAAAAAAATCTGAACCAAGCATGTATAGTGTCTACAGTACTTAAAACCTAAATTAGATTTTTCTTGTATTTTCTACCTCCACACTACTGAAATATTATTAAGTATCCACCCAATTTATATTTAACTAACACAAAGGACAGGGCTTACTGGGACTCTATAAAGTTTAGCAAAAATAAATAAAATTGACAAGCCTGAATTTTGCAAACGGACATTAGATTTGTGTGAATAGAGGGAGAGCATACTTACCAATTCGGGCGCACTTCCAAAATATACCCAACAGTCTGCACAGAATAAAAGAGAAAAAAAATGGCTATGGGTTATTTGAAAAAGCTAATCATTTCTCTTTCTGTATCATACAGAAAATTAATCACACATTTGCAATTTAACCTCTAACACTTTGCTCAAAACTGAAATCTGCCAATTTGATGTTTAGTAAACATTTACTTGTGCATGAAAGGGCAACAACATATCCACCACGTGATGAAAAATGCTATAAAATGGAATATATTAGTGTCAGGGGTCTAATCTGGAGTAAAATAATGGGTAACAAAAATTTGCACAAAGGCTTAATGTATTTAGGATTCAATTATTTGACAAAATAATACATGAACATAGGCTTTAACTGTGAGAGTCAAAACACGCACTACAATTTTTAATTGGTAAGAAATGCAGCTCTGTACTTCAATAATCTTTAATTATGAAGTCAAATGATAGTGTTTATTTATCTGTGTCATTAGTGAGAATATAAAAATATGTTTAAGAAGAAAACTTCCCAATTCAGAGGCTACTATTAGTTTACTGAATGCGGCATTTAAAACAATATTATCTGGAAATAAGATGAAGGACGATAAAGATGGACAATTAAATTCTATGAATGTATTAGAAATGAGTTATATACTATATGGATGTATCATTTGCTTGGCATGTATAACAGGTAACAGCTTTAAAAAACTGGCTTAGTTTTCAATGAACAGAGATATCTAGAAAAAAACTGCTGACGCTGTTTTGTCGATTTGACAATAGAATTCTAAGTGGTACTATACATGGTTACAAGGATAAACTAATGTTTGTTGTGTAAGCTAGAATTGGGTCAGCAAAATCACAATATAAAATAAAAAAATGGCAATTCCAGGGAAATTTAAATTGTATTATTTTTGTATTCAGAGAAATGGCTGGCTAATAAATCATGGCATCTTGTGTACGGATGACTGACAGAAAATACTGGATCATTAAGTTCTATGTATGTTGCTGTTCTAAAGCCTAATAACTTCATGACTTCCAAGCAAAAAATCAAGAAAAAAAAAAAAAAAAGAAAAAACCTCAGCACAGATCACAGATTCAAAGAAATGGGCAGAAATACAAAGGATGGAAATCTGACAAGTAAATCAAGTTTACTATAGAAATATAAACTAATACAAGGTGGACTACCCTTAAATTCAGTCCCACTTGCTGCCATTTGCGGGAAAGTGATTATCCCTTTAACAATAGCACTTGCCATCACGGGACTGCTCATGAGGATCGAGGACTACACAGAAAGTTCCTGGAGTCACCACCATGCACTGTGTTCAGTAAGGCACAGGCGCTAAGCACATGTGATAGCAACTCCAGACTGTCTCTTAAATTTGGCTTATATTTCCTCATCAAAAACTGGAAGGTAGCAGGTTAGGCATCTGCAAAGCCATGGTTCCTGATTCTAAGAAACCTCTGATTCCAACACGCACTTGTAACTTTAAGCTGCTCTGGCTGAGGGAGTGAATTCAGGCAGGTGGATCAGGCTGCCTGAAGGTGCTAGCTGGGTAGCTTAGGGCTGCACAGAGAACAGCCTGAAACTGTTAGGATCACAAAGCCAAGGTTTCTTCAGGTCTAACACTCTGGAAACAATGTATCACTTAAAAACTGTTAAGACCCAAATAAGCATACTGAAAGCTTTATAAATGGATCAAAAAAAAAAAAAAAAAAGCCTAACCTGGCAACTCAAGAAGCTGCCTTTTTCACCACCTGTTTTCCTCCCTAGACATACTTCTGTAATATTCCAAATGCTACCTATTAAATAAAAGATGCACTCAGTTGACAAAAACCAATACAATTATGATGCTTAGTTTCTATGGCAACATAACAGTGAGTGTTTCTGTTGAAAATGCTGTGGGGTCGAAAACTAAGAAAAAAGACAAAGCAGCAATCTTCCTGCTGCTTCGTTCTCTATTATCTGAGGCAGCAACAATTGAGGTTATTTTAAATATTCAAGTCCTCAAGAACTTGTTTTATCTAACCTGCCTACACATCTCCATCTAGGTGTGGTATACTTGGGCTTATAGAAATTTCTCCTACAGGAAATATTTATGTATAAATAAAAAGATTCTAACATTTTTGAAAGTAGAAACAAATTCAGAAAAGGTTTCATTCCGTTGACTGTATTAGTAGATACTACAAATGCACAATAGCCCTGCCTCTTTATGGGTCTCTCATGTAGGAGGACGGACTACACTACCACTCAACCTCTACTGCACGGCTGGCGGCCCTGAGAACTCCTTTGTTCATGTAGCAGGTTGTGGGCGCATTCCTGCTCCCAAAGGTCAAGCAGACATCTCCACATGCAGCCTACCTGCTTTGGAGAAAAAGCTTCCGTGACAGCGTCAGGAAAGTGCAAACCCAAGTATATGTAACTATTCTTAATGACAGAAACGCAAGTATCTTATGAGACAAACATTATCTTAGCATCCCAAGAAACTATTTAGACAGCTGAGTATTGACTGGCTTCTGCTGTATGCCTTCATAACAGGTTAGCCGTAGGTTTGCTGGGCAAAGGATAGAGAAATGGGACGGACTGCTTGGGTGGAATGACTTCACGCCCAACTAAGCAGTAAGTGAAGATGATATAACTTCAACAATTAGACAAAGTAAATGACGTACTTAAGAGTAAATGCAACAGGAGTTCAGAGTAAAGACAGTGCCTGCAAATAAAGTGGAGGTAATGTCCTACCTGCTGGGCGGACACACTTCAACTAGGTTAAAGGACCTCCACCATACACTCATTTTACCACACTTCAGGTCACTTCGAAAATTTACCTTACTATAGTAAGATAACGTAAATACAAAACTTTTGTATTTTTAAAAATGGAGGGAGCAAGCAATGTAAAGTGTTATTAACACATTAAATTACACTTCGGAATTAATGTATCTAAAGACTGTCATGTAATGTCATGTAATTAATGTATCTAAAGACTGTCATTAATATTCAGTGTCCATAAGCACTAATATGTGATCAGACATCATTAGTAACATACCCAGTTTTATTTCTGTCCAGCACGCTGGGTGCCAAGGATCGGATATAAGCACAGGTACATATAAGCAGCAAGATTACAGTCAACAGACTCTGAAAATTGAAAATGGCAGACTAAAAAGAGAAAAAAAAAATATATGAAAAACTGCATAGATAAAAAAATGCCAGACAATTCCATATCAAGAATCATGTTTTTATTTTTTCAAAAAGGCAAACACAATGACAATGCCTGACATGTCATTGTAAAACCAGGCCACTTGAAACACGTACTTTCCTGTCCAGTCTTTGGGCTAAGTAATGCAGGGGGAGCAACAACAGTAAGATCTAAATATAAGAACATAGAAATGCCTTGAATCAGGCATACTGACCAAAGCTGAGTCAGTACGTAACCAGCATAGAGGTCCCAGGAGTCCACCCTAAAGTCTCCCTCCCCTGCCAGTAGCCGGGGAGCGACCTCACTGAGTGGCTGGCCTTGCTGTGAAGCTGGGTGGGGGGTGGGGGGCGGCAGACGGCATCAATGGTCACCAGTTTCTTTCAACTCGGAACCTTCCAGGATAAAAATGCTCTAAACCCATGTACTGACCAACAACAGTCCCTTAGATTTGGATGAAAGTCAAGTACCTACTATTTTACTGTTGAGTCAACATTATTCATCATTTAATAGTTAAATCTTGAGGCTGACTCTATTAGGAACTTAGCTCAAGTGTCCCCCTCTCCAGGAGTGTCCTTGAGTCCATCTGTGCTTTCTCCACTTTCACGCAGAACTTCCTTTCCAGTCCCCATGGAAACCCTGGCCGAACTTACTAACCTAACCACGGAAGGGTGAGCGCTGTGTTACCAGAGTGCATCTCCAGCACCTGTGCCGACCCACACAGTAAGTAATGAAACCATTTTAACAAAGTGCAATATTGTTGTACATTTAATAACCTTCACACACTGGCTGATATAACACACTGACCTCATACAAAAGCCAGTAATATACTGATTCAGTAAACTTAGAAACATTGCCCCCCAAATCAGGACCAATATAAAGATCACAAATTGCAAAACTGCTACTTGCAGAACAATGGTAACCTGGTAAGTCCCAAAGAATACAGTGAAAAAGACCTTAAGGGAATTACGCTGAGTGTGCACAGAATTAACCTGTTCTGTCCCATCATCCTAGGAGTAGGACACTCGTAGGGACTTAAGAGGAGTAATAATAAACGGCTCCTATGTCATTGAAATATCTGCAGACTTGAAAACCTGGAACTTAATGGGTTAAAATATGTGGACCAACAGCCTGCATGTGTTACCATCCAGTTGAAAGACAAAGGAATAAAAAGACTCCATCCACGACAGGAACTAGGCCAGAAAGCTCAATGACCTAGGAGAAAGCTTAACACGAAACGTACAGCATTGGCATCAAAGGAAAACTGAAATGCTTAAAACATGCAAGAATGTAAGGGCAGAACAGACTCATATGCCAGGTTCTTACATTGGAAGGCAACACTGTGAAGCTAACATATGAATTTGAAGTAAAGTTAATACCAACAAGTTATTTTTGAAATAGCTGATTCTGAAGTTCACATAGAAAATGAATAAGAAAAGCCAGAGTAAACTTAAGAACTAGTCCTGTCAGAAATTGTCACAATATACCCTTTTTAAAAGACTTATCTGAAAAAGTTACAGAGAGAAAGATCTTCCATCCACTGGTTCACTCCCTGAATGGGCGGGACTGAGCCAGGCTCAAGTCAGTAACTTCCTCTGGGTCTCCCACGTGGGCGGCGGGGGCCCAAGCACTTGGGCCACCTTCTGTGGCTTTTCTCAGGCCATTAGCAGGGAGCTGCATCCGAAGTGGAGTGGACAGGACATGAAGTCAGCGCCCACATGGGATGCTGGCAGCACAGGTGGCAGCTTTATCCACTGTGCCACAACTCGGGCCCCTACAATATCCTTTTAAACCTTTTACCTCTTTTTACTGAAAAAATAATTATATATACCTGCTATTTACCAATATTCTTGATGACAAAATATGCTTACATTTAGTGCTATCTGGTATGAAAGAGGATGCAATATTTCACAACCACTTCATCTTTAGGATGTAAACTTTTATGTAAAGGCAAGAAGATGCAGCGAGTATGTCTACGTAAGTCTTTTACCTAATTCTCAACTTGTCTGAACACAAATTTTCTAAGAGCTACCTTTCATGGTGTGAAAAAGATAAAAAAAAATGACTTGTACTTACCATATCAATACTTATCTTTTTTTTGTAATTCCTTTATGTCTATAGGAAAGGTAAAGTTTAATACAGCTTGCTTTTGACTAAAATGGGTTTTAATTTTGTACCTGTGAAAACAAGTGCTAGACATATCTTGAAATAAACCAATAAATTTACTAATGATCAACTGTGGGTAGAAAAAACACGGTCTTAACAATGTGTTTCTTTCAATGGTCCAATGTTGACACGTGTTATGAATATATTAATGAACATCACTGGACAACAAGCTCATGAAACACATTTCCTCCCAGCCAACATGACTGAACTTGTGAATTTCCTGTGTACTCTGTCTGGAGACTGAAGCTAGACATTAGATTCAAAAACACACATGGTGGGGCAAGCTCTGTGGTGCAGTGGATCAAGCTACCACTTGGGATACCGCACTCCCTATCAGAGTGCCTGGGATGGAATCCCAGCTCCTCTCTCCTCTATCTAGCTTCCTGCTATTGCACCTGAGGGCAGATGATTGCCCACATGGGAGACCTGGGTGGCTTTCGTGTGGCCTGGCTCAGCCCTGGCCTGTTGTATGCTTTTGGGGAGTGTGCCAGTGCATCAGTGGATAGAAAATCTCTCTGACCACCTCCCCATCTCATTCCCCAACCCCCAACTCTGCCTTTCAAATGAAAATTTTTTTAAGAGATCTATGAGTTGACAGCTTCCTTTTAGGAATTTCTAGCAAAGCATTAAAATTATTGCTACTCACTAAGTGCTTACTCTGTGTTATTCTCATACATGTGAGGCAGATGTTATTACCTATAGATGAGACTACTGAGGAAGACAGCAGTCACAAGCCACTAAGAACACAATGCATGTTTTCAAAATTAAACAGCAGTAAGTAGTAGCCAAGTGACGACTGAAGCCTTGTGGACAAAGAACGCTATTTTCAGAAGGTAAAGTGTCAAGGAGAAAGCAGCAGCAGGGTCTCAGGGTTTCCTGAAAGGGAACAATTTAGATGGGCAAAGGAGAGGGACAAAATACAATGGGAACCACATACCAGCCCCACTCCCCGCCTCCCCCCCCCAATATTCAGGCAATAATCAGCATATTCAGTCCCTGCAAAAAGATTTGTGTTAAAGTAGCTGGGAAAGCAATTTGAAAGTGCATTTATCATCTTCCTAAGGGAGTGTCTAAACTCCTGGGTTTGTACTGTGTACATGTGCTTCAATGACATGACACTGGAGATTGGCTTCTAAATAAGCCAGCCTGTGTGGGAGAGAAGAGCAGGGCTCACGATGAAATGCTGAATAGATGAAGGCTTGCTTGTTAGCATTCTTTCTACGTTTGTATGAATTTTTCACAATAAAAGATACGCAGGCATTTGGAAACAGCCTGTATGAAGGAAGCACATTTGTGTATGTGAAACCATTTATAGGTATGAACTAAATGATGTACACAACTTTTTTTTGTTTTGTTTTTTGATAGGCAGAGTGGACAGTGAGAGACAGAGAGAAAGGTCTTCCTTTTCCGTTGGTTCACCCCACAATGGCCGCTATGGCCGGCGCACCGCGCTGCTCTGAAGCCAGGAGCCAGGTGCTTCTCCTGGTCTCCCATGGGGTGCAGGGCCCAAGTACTTGGGCCATCCTCCACTGCCTTCCCGGGCCACAGCAGAGAGCTGGCCTGGAAGAGGGGCAACCGGGACAGAATCCGGTGCACCGACCAGGCCTAGAACCCAGGGTGCCGGCACCACAAGTGGAGGATTAGCCTAGTGAGCCATGGCGCTGGTCACAAATTTAAGAATTTAAATGGATCACCTTTAGCTGGTGAGGTCTTTGATGCACTCCAGACCGTGGTCAGGACAGTGTTTCGGGGTTACAGACATCAGCCTGTCACCTATAGTGGTCCTCTTGACGCTTAGCTCCTGCTGTTCTGGGATACAAAGCGTTGGTCTCAGGATTAAAGCAAATCAGGGTTTTCAATATGCAAATGATACTAGGCTGGCGCCGAGGCTCACTAGGCTAATCCTCCGCCTTGCAGCGCTGGCACACGGGGTTCTAGTCCCGGTCGGGGCGCTGGATTCTTTCCCGGTTGCCCCTCTTCCAGGCCAGCTCTCTGCTGTGGCCCGGAAAGGCAGTGGAGGATGGCCCAAGTGCTTGAGCCCTGCACCCTATGGGAGACCAGGATAAGTACCTGGCTCCTGCCTTCGCATCAGCGCGGTGCGCTGGCTGCAGCGTGCCAGCCGTGGCGGCCTTTGGAGGGTGAACCAACGGCAAAGGAAGACCTTTCTCTCTGTCTTTCTTTCTCACTATCCACTCTGCTTGTCAAAAAAAAAAAAAAAAAAAAGTCATTAAAGTGAACAGAGGAAGCTGAGCATATAATGAAGTCACAGATGATTTTAAGAAAGTGGTAGGTAAATTGATTTACCAAGATTAGTATTTTAAATCGTGGCTTTTTTCAAGGTGCTGTTTCTTGCCTGTCTGGGGAACTGACACTCTTCCAGGCTTGGGTGTCCTCTCCTCTCAGAGGCCCTCTCCATGCTGAGCAGGGTCAGCATCTTTGTATGTCTGCGTGTTACGTGTGTGCCTTCCTTCAGTTGCACCCACCGAACCGCACCACTGAGGTTCTTAACAACCTCCACTACTAAGCGCGAGACAGCACATGGTGATCACTGGAAAATGCTGAGCGAGTAACGAACACGCTAACTCAGATTCCAGATTAACAATGGATATTTTTCAACAAGGACTGTAGATCAGACTGCTGAACACAGCATCTTGCCAACTACTCAACAGAAGCCTCCACACACCACTATAGATTGGTATTTAGCTGTGAATGCTATTTTGAAAAGCCAACTTAAGCAGCAGCATTTTACATATTTTAAATAGATTCTTCTCTAACACTGGCACTCTAATTTAGGCTT